TGATGCTGCTTGGCCTGCTGTGTTCATCCAGCTCTACACCTTGTTATCTCAGATTCTCTAGCATCTGCAGTTCCTACTATCTCTGAATTACATTTTACATCCTTTACTCACACCTTCTCAAGAGGTAGGAGACACTGGCATTTATCCAGTTGCCCCATGGAGGTGGAAGTGGACATACTTTCCGAACAATTAACATTTCAAATTCAATCACTTTGCTGCAGGACTGGAGTCATGTTTAACACAGACTGGGCATAAAGGCAGTTTTCTTTCCCTGAAAGATGCAGAGAAAGATCAACTCTAATACAAGAGGCCTGTTCATAAGCCTGATAAGAACAGCTTCTTCCCTGCTGATAAGTCTTTTGGTACGCGTTCTCAAACTTTTGTATCTTCTGCCCAATGGAAGAGCGTAGAAGACAGTATAACCGGGTGGGAAGGGTCTTTGATTATGTTGGCTGCTTTCCCGAGGCAGCGGGAATTGTAGACAGAGTCAGAGTCAGTGGAAGGAAAGTTGGTTTTTGTAATGGACTGGGCTGCGTTCAAAACTCTAATTTCTTGCAGTCTTAGGCAGAGCAGTTGTCAGGCCAAGCTGTCATGCATCCAGATAGGATGCACCATAACAAAGCATCCATTAAAATTGATAAGAGTTTTTGTGGACATGCTGAATTTTGTTTGCCTCCTGAGGAAGTTGGTGCTCAGCAATTATGTTCTGTGCAGAAAGAACCATGGGTGACATTCTCAACCCACACTAATTAAAGCCCTTGACCAGTCAATTAATAGCCATTGAAGGGCCAGAACTCTCCAATAACCCATTTCACAGCCTTCCTGGCAGGCAAAGAAAGCGCTTGTTTTCCAACAGAGAAACCAGGGCAGCCTGCCTCCCTGCAATTGAATGACATTCATTTGTCTCAATCTGGCAGCAATTGGGAAGGCAGGATTGGGGACCAGGAAATGGCTGCTGAATATCAACCCTCTGCCCTTGATCGTCACCACCCCATTCTCATTGTGACCCCAAACTGCCATCCCTGAAAGTCTTCCCACTCACCTCTTGTTAGTTTAGTTCTTCACGTCTTCATACCTTGTGCTCCAGTGATGATCTCCAGCTCCCAGCATCCAATGGGTCAGTGGCTTGGAGAGGAGCAGGGGAGGGGTGTGTTTCTTCATTGAGCAGGCTCCAAATTGTACATGATCTTCACTGGTCAGCACTTTAAATATCTATTTATTTTTTAATGTAGCAAACCTTCTCACTGGTGAGGGCTGATATTTAATCCCTTCTGACATGGCCTATCCCCCACACTTCATGCACTCGGATTCAACACACCATTTCATCAACTCACATTTACCTTTAACGTAACATAACTGCTCTACTTCCTTCTTTTCCTGGATTTTGGAACAATGGATTTATCCATCTTTGACCTTCTCTTTCCAAACTTGGTCACATCATATGTTCACTGCTTTAGGAAATTAAAGCAAAGTTTGTGAAAGCATCAGTCTTCACCTCCAAATTGTTTCTTTTATTTCAAAAATATACTTTATTCATAAAAATATCTTTACATACATACATAGACATTAAAAGCAGTTTGGCTCTGTATAGTAGCATGCGGAGAAGCAAACATTGGAATTTGATTCTATCCAAAGAAACCCAAGGCATTCCTTATCTATACAAGAATATATTGACATATTTGAGGCAGTGGGAGGGTCCAATAACTGAACGGACCACTATCCGACTTCAGCAGAAAGATCTCAGACAGTGGTCTTTCCCCACTGTGCCTTGGTGGCAGCTGCCCCAAGCTATAGCACATCCCTCAGCACAGTCCGAGACCTTGGAACGTGCCAGTCTGCAACACTCAGATGAAGTCAACTCCTTGCTCTGGAAGAACAACAAGTTTTGGGCAGACCAAAGAGTGTCTTTCATTGAGTTGATGGTCCTCCAGGTGCAGTCAATGTTTGTCTCGGTGTGCATCCCAGGGAACAGACCACAAGCACACAGAGTCCTATATCACGGAGCTGCTAGGGATGAACTTTGACAAAAACCACTGCATCTTTCTCCAGATTTCCTTTGCAAAGACACATTCTAGAAGATGTCTGACAGTCTCAACACCCCCCTGCAGCTGCTTCGAGGGCAGTGTGCAGTGGCACAGAGTCTGGGCGTATATGAAGCATCTCACAGCTAGTGTCCTTCTCACCACCAATGTCTTGGTGCTTGTTGGAAAGTTCTGGTGGGCATCACCTCCTAAATGGCAGTTATTTCAATCATGGGTAATGGTGTTCCTTTCGAGGGAGATTGCAATGAGTTTAAGACAACTAGTGATGAGAATCCTTGGAGTTCTGTTTAAGGAACCTTGATGACTCATTGACTTTGTACTGAGAAAATAGATTGCTGATCGACTTTCAATGTTTACTCTGTCTTCCAGATCAATGATGTTGTTGTTTCTGGAGTACAGCCAGAATCAAATGCTTAAGCCAACAGTCTAATTTGCATTTTGATTATTTTTACAAAATGACAGTGTATTTTGAGAAGGCTAAAACTCATCTTCAGCAAGGTCAATCCCTTTGCCCTCCATCTCCTCAGAGGATAAGGGCATCAAGTGAATGGGAAGGTCACCAGCTGCAGGTCACACACCATCTGGACGTGAAAATGGATGCCTCGTTGTTACTGGGTCAAAATCCTGCAGCTCCCTACTCAGTGTTGTGGGGGGGTGCGAACATAAACCACATGAACTGTAATCATTTCCAGAAGCAAACTGCTTTAGGAACTATGTATGTATATAAAGATATTTTATGAATAAAGTAAATTTTTGAAATAAAAAATATGCAGTCATTTCTAGAAAAAGAACATGCCCCAGATGTTCTTGGCCAGATTCACCAATGCCAAGTTGGTGTTCTTCTCTGACCACTGCCTCCTGTTGCCAACAGCCACTTACAGAACAACCAGTAGGCTGGCAAGAGAATATGGAAGCTAAATGGGAAGCTGTTGACCCCAGAACACATTGAGGAGCTCAACAGGGACAACACAGGTTGGAGAACCATGAAGCCCCTCTGAGTCTCCAGTGGACTGGTGGGAAACAATCAAGGGGAACATCAAGAGGTTCTTTATCCTCAGAAGGTGGAAGCGAGAGGAGGAAAACTGTCCAAACTCCAGAAAAGCATGCAGCACCTATTCCTGCTGCAGACAATGGGGGTCACTGTCACAGAGGATCTCCAGGGAGGTGAAGAGCCAACAAGCCTCATTCTTTGCTCGCAGGCCTCCACGATAATCTTCCAGTCCAGGCTCCACACCATGGAGCAGGACGAGATCTGCTCATGTGCACCATCTGGAAGAAGAAACAAGGAGAGCTCTATGATCAGCAGCCTGAAAGAAGAAGATGGCTCCGTCACATCATATCAGTCTGACATCCTGAGGATCAGCAAATCCTTTTATGTCAGGCTGTATGACACAAATCCCACAAAATCCCACAAATCACCCCGACAAAATCTGTGCTGTACCAGGCAGGGCGATCTCAGACCCTTGCGTTCCTCAGGGATTCAATCACCTATGGGCAGGACAAAGGGGCTGGATGCCTGCCTCATCAAGCTGGACCAGGAGAAGGTCTTTGACAGGATATCACACACCTACTATCACACATGCTCTCCAAAATGAGCTTTGGCGAGGAAATCCACACTTGGATCCAAATGCTTTACGCCAACATCATTAGTGCAGTCTCAATCAATAGGTGGGAAACAGAAATATTTCTGATCAGATCTGGAAATCAGGCAGGGCTGTCCAGTCCCTCCTGCCTTGTTTGTGTATTGTATAGAGCCTTTTGCCGTGTCTATCAGGAAAGATGTGCACCTGAGGCGGTGACTATTCTAGACAGCAGAGGCCTGTAGGTCAAAGCTTCCCTACACATGGATAATGTCACCGTTTTCTGCTCAGATCCTCTGTCAGGTGCAGACTGAACAGCATCTGTGACCATTTTGAACTGGCCTTGGGAGCCAAGGTAAATCGAGGCAGGAGTGAGGCCATGTTCTTTGGAAACTGGACCGGTTGATCCTTTATCCCCTTCAACATCAGGTCAGATTACCTGAAAGTGCTGGGAGTATGGCTCAGAGGGGTTGGGGTGTGCACAAAGTCTTAGGAGGAGCACAATGCCAAGGTGAGGCAGAAAGTGGTCTTTTGGGAACACCATTCCCTCCATTGCAGATTAAAAACCTGGTCATCAGGTATGACACACTTTGTTATTGTACATGGTGCAGGTCTGGCCCATTCCCAGAACCTGCGCTGTTGCAGTCAGCCAAACCATTTTGCACTTCATCTGGAGGTCGAAGAGAGGCTGTGTCCACAGACACACCAAGTACAAAGCTCTGAATAAAGTTGGGGGGTGGGGGGAGGGGAGGGGGACGAGGAGGAGTGGTGAATAACACAGCCAACATTGCCTTCATCCTGATGGCAACCTTTGTGCCTGGCTGCACATCAAGCCGTGCTTAGACCTTTGGTACGCAAACCCTAGCGTCACTACGTACTGAGGTTCTACCTTCGATGTTGCAAAGAATGGAAATGGCCTCATTGCCGTGGAACACTCCCAGTAGTTGGACCGTTCCGTATCACCTGCCCATCATGGAGGAACTTGCAAAGAAAAGCACGTTTGACCACAAGTCCATCAGGAAGTGGTAAGCACGTGGCATCTGCAAGACCCTGCGGGAAAAGGAGAAGGTGGTTCCTGTCAGGTTGTTCCCCGAGCAGACTGCCAAAAAGCATTTGGCAGAATGCATCACCAGAACTTTCCAACAAACACCAAGATATCGCATGGCTGGTGGTGAGAAGGTGGTGGTGAGAAGATCCTACACATGTGCCAAGTCTCTGTGCATCACCACGTGCTGCCCTTGAAGCAGCTGTGGGCATGCTGGGACTGTCAGGCATCTCCTTCTGGAATGTACCTTTGCATAGGAAGTCTGGAGAGAGATGCAGTGGTTTTTGTCGAGGTTCATCCTGAGCAACTCCATAACACAGGATTCTGTGTTCTACAGTATATTCCCTAGGACGCACACTGAAACAAACATCGAATGTGCCTGGAGGACCATCAACTTGGTGAAAGACACTCTTTGGTCTGCTCAAACCCTGTTGGTCTTCCAGAGCAAGCAGCTGACCCGGACTGAGTGCTTCAGACTGGCACATTCCAAGGTCCAGGACTACATGCTAAGGGTCGCAATAAAGCTTGGGATAAGTGCCGCCGAGGCACAATGGGGAATGGCCACTGTCTAAGGTCTTTCTGCTATAAGTAAATGGGAGTCCATTCAGGTATTGGTCCCTCCCGGTGCCTCAAATATGTAAACTTTACAATATGTAAATATAATCTTATATAAGGAAGGAATGCCTTGGGTTAGTTCGTTCTCCATATGTAAAGACTTTACAGAATCAAACTGCTGTAGTGACTACGTATATTTACAAAAATCTTTACATACAAAGTATGTTTGATATTAAAAAAGTCATTTCTAGACAAAGGCCTAAACACCTCAAACACAATAAAGAGTCAATCAATAGTGATGCAATTCCCACAACTTCAGAATTTTTAAAGATATTTCAAGATTTTGAGCAAATCCTCTGAGCTCAATGGCCCTTTAATTCAAAAACAAACACAGAAAATGCTGGAGAAACTCAGGAAGCCTGGCAACATCTGTGGAGAATGAAAGTTGTGAAACAAATAGAAATACCAGACTCGAAAAACTTTAATGCTGGTTCTCTCTCCACACATGCTGCTGGACACAGCTAAGTTTCTCCAGTATTCTTCTCTGTGCTGTTTCAGAGTTACAGCATCTGCAGTATTTTGCTTCTTTTTAGGCCCTTTAATTTGCTTCCCTTCTCCTTCCTCCACCTTTCCAACTCATCGAGCGATGTTGGAGAGGGAACCAACTATTGTTGGCCCCCTTTCTTTTTCCTCCTCTTGCTTCCACCTCCCCATCCATTTCTCTCCTTTATCTTTCCATTTAAAATAAATAGCACAGTTAGAATAGCACATGGGAAAATATTACATAATAGGGTTTAACTGGCAAATCTCAAAAAAAAAACACTTTTTCAGCTTGCATACTGTCGATTCTGCATTGCTGTGCTGCATTCCTCATAGAAGTCTGAGTTGGAGTTTGAGCATACAGTAGCTGCTGTAATGTCATACATTATCCAGCAGAGAGCAGCTCTCACTCTCATGACGCATAAAAGTTACAAAAATTCAAAGCTGAAAAAAAATCAAATGGGTAGTACTTTGAAATTTATATTTCAGAGTCTAATTGTTGCGTTTTAAAAATGTTGAAATGCCCTCCCATTGGGATGGCCTTGACATAGTTAAAAAAATTGTTTCATCACAGTGCCACTGTAACAGTGCATCTTGGTGTCAATGTATTCTATACATCAGTGCATTAGAAAATGGGCATGATTAGTAAGATACATTATTTTTATTCTTTGACAGTTTGAAGGTATTTC